TTAGGGAACTTAATTTATTTCGAGTTGGGGAGAGGGTGCTAAGATTAAGAAGAAATAAAACATAATGATAGTCACCATTAAAGAGTGCTTATTATGTCCCAGCATGTATTTTATAACATCCCTGTGAGATACGGATGTTATTCCCCCCGCCCTTTTTTTTTTTTTTGATCCACCCACCTCAGCCTCCCAGAGTGCTGGGATTATGGGTGTGAGCCACCATGCCTGGCCTCCCATTTTTTAAAAATGGGAAACTGAGACTAAGAAGTGTCTAAATCATACAGCTGGTTAAAAAAAAAAAGTCACACAGTGGCAAACCCAGGTATTAAACTCAGGTCTTTGATTTAAAAGCCACCATAATACATTTTCTTCTCTTGTGAAAAAGATGTCCCTTCCACCTTCAGAGAATTTTTAGTAGTTGAGGCAAACTCATAAAAAGAAAACTAACAGGATGGATGTGCTAAGCACCAAATGATTGCTACAGATTTGTGATTTAAGTATCCCTTAGAAAGGAAGAATGTTGAGGTCTGAAGTGATTAGGGAAATTTTTATGTTGAAAATGGGTTTTAAGCTTAGTCTTCGAGAATTGCTAAAACAAATAGAAAAGGAAAAGGACTGATGTGTAGAGGGAGGCTGTAACAAAGCAAAAAAGCTCAATATGAGATAATTTGGAAAGGAATATAACTAAAGAGGAAAATTTGATAAGAATAGTATGAAAGAAAACTCAGAGCAGGTTAGCAGATCTAAAGTGCCAAACTGAGGACTTTGACATTTTACCTGATAATAACGTGTAACAGATAACCTGTACTGAACATTTATCACTTGCCAGGCACTGCCCTATTTGTTGTACATGCATGATCTCATTTAATTCTTGCAGTAAATGAGGTCCAGAGACAAGTAACTTGCCAAGGCCACAATTGTTCAGAAGAAGAGCCAAGATTTGAATATAAACAATTTAAATTCAGAACTTCTGCTCTTAATTACCACACTGATTTGGTTTTAGAGTCCATGGTAGATTGAACAAATTTCAAGCCCAGGATCAGTGACCTTAAACAAGTAATGTGCCTCCCACCTTTGGCAGTTTTTCACATTTTAGTTCAGAAAAGTGATGTGACAATAGAAAATGACATCTCATTCCTGTCCCTGCTGCCCTTACACATCTTGAGCACATGGCAGCGAAGGAGAAGTCAAGGTAATGTGCTAATGGCTTTCAAGTCTGCCTGCGTTTCTGTGTTCATCTGGTCAGGTATTCTCAGTTAACCCTTGACCCTAACGTCCAAATTGTGTCAGTCCATTGTTAATCATAGTTCAGTGGTCCTCACATTGTGGATTCTGGACCAGCAGTAGCATCAACTAGGAATTGTTAAAAGTCCCATTTCTGGACCCTCATCCCAGACCTACTGAATCAGAAACTCGAGGGATGAGGTGCAACTGTCTGTTTTTTAAAAGTCCTTTAGGTGATTATGATGCATGATGAAGTTTGAGAACCACTGTTAAAGTCCACTATAGGATTTCAGTTCAGGAGCAAACTACTAAAAAGTTTTTGGCAATCCTTGAGGGGTAGATGTGGTGGCAGGGCATACCATGCTGAAGGAACAGTGGAGGAAAGACTCAGGATGTATCATGGTCAGGGACTGGGGGTCAGTTTGGAACATCTGAAGAAGAAACAGTGTGTGTTTGCGTTGTGTGTATCAGACAACAGTAGGAAAGGGGAAACTAGGCCCATTTCAACAACATTCTGTGGGCAGCAGGGAGGTATGAAAGGTGTTTGAGGAGAGCAGAGCATGTGTTAGGAAGAGTAAAATCAACTTAAATAGTTACAGCACAGAAAAGTACTGATAGGGCAAAATAAAGGGGAAATACAAGAGCACCTTTGAAACACGGAAGTAGTACACAAACTCAACAGATAGAAGAACTATAAAGAATGCTGCCTATTCAACCACTTTTATTTGTTCCTGATAATATTCCTTAAATAGAAATTACTGTATTGAGTAAAGCATTAAGTATGTTGATTAAATATCACTTTCATTGTTTTTTATGTTTTTGGTTCTAAAAATTGTAATTTGAAAAAAGAGAGTCATTGTCCAAAAAGTGGTATTACTTTTCAAGAGATATAGCAAAAAACTGTGCAACAGTCACCATGTGAGGTAAGTCTGTAGTGAGAAATGGTATGTTCAAGAACAACTGTAATTAAAAACTGTGCAAAAAAATCTTGTCTTTGCTTGCTAGATGATCTACAAGCTTTTAGATGAGGCAGTTTTTAACTAAAAATTTTGTAGGCATCTTTAATCTCTTTCATGTCTCAGAGTTTCTCAGTCCATTTGGTTTATGTGTAGCCCTGGCTATTCCAATTTGTCTTCGGGCTCTGCTGTTTTTCTTTCTTGAGTCTGAAGTTATTAGGAAGAAAAGTGCCATAGTGCCCATAGGTTTTCTTTTTACTTTTATTGTTGCTGTTATTTTTAGTTTAGAATGGAAGAAAGATATTTGTGTGCTGTTAGACATGTAGAACTCCGAATTCACAAATGTAATATTTTATAATACCTTATTACATGTTTCCCAACTTAAGGAGGAAGGCAGATATTTCCTTCTTGAATGAAATTGTGTGGAAGCAAAGGTGATCTGATTCCACCCCCAGGAATATACCACATATGAAGTAGTATGTAGAATGTATTTTTTTGTCTTGAATGTGAAAGGTCTAAATATGGAGAAAATTTTCCCTGTTCTGTATACTTTTAATAATGGGCACATTATACTTTCTGCTATCCCCAAACTACATTCAAAAAAAGTACTTTAAAAATGATATTAAAATATTAAAAGAAAGTCCTTTCTAATTATCAGGTATGGTAGGGATATAATTGACAATGTTATGAAATTTTTTTTTGGCTTATCAGGTAAAGTTCCTTTCCACATCTATTTAAAGAACATAATACAGTCATCCCTCTGTATCGTGCAGTCTGCATCTATGGATTTAATCAATTGTAGATTGAAAATACTCAGGGAAAAAAAGGATAGTTGTGTCTGTATTGAACATGTACAGACAAACTTTTCTGTCATTATCCCTTAAATAATACAGCCATTTACATAGCATTTACATTGTATTAGATATTATAAATAATCTAGTGATGACTGAACATATACAGGAAGAAGTGCATAGGTTATATGCAAATACTATGCCTTTTTTTTTTTTTGAGACAGTCTCGCTCTGTTGCCAGGCTGGAGTGCAGTGGCACGATCTTGGCTCACTGCAACCTCCGACTCCCTAGTTCAAGTGATTCTCCTGCCTCAGCCTCCCGAGTAGCTGGGATTACAGGCACGTGCCACCATGCCCAGCTAATTTTTTGTATTTTTAGTAGAGACAGGGTTTCACCATGTTAAGCAAGATGGTCTCGATCTCCTGACCTCGTGATCCGCCTTCCTCAGCCTCCCAAAGTGCCGGGATTACAGGCATGAGCCACTGTGCCCATCCTCCTATACCATTTTATATAAGATACTTGAGTATGTGTGGATTTTATTATCTGCAGAGGGTTCTGGAATCAATCCCACACAGATACCAAGGGATGACTACATTTTACATGGGCATTTTTGTAGCTGATGACTATGTGCACATAGCCTAGGTTTTCTGACAAGATTATAATGTGACCCACAGGCAGCCTCTTTTTATTAAAGAGTTAAGTCTGATGATAGATGAATAGAAATTCTGTAAAATCTTATATTGGTAGTAGTAGTAGTTGTTGTTGTTGTTGTTGTTTGTTTTTTTTTTTTTTTTTTTTTTTGAGACGAGTCTCGCTCTGTCGCCCAGGCTGGAGTGCAGTGGCGGAATCTCAGCTCACTGCAAGCTCCGCCTCCCGGGTTCACGCCATTCTCCTGCCTCAGCCTCCCGAGTAGCTGGGACTACAGGCGCCCGCCACCTTGCCCGGCTAGTTTTTTGTATTTTTTAGTAGAGACGGGGTTTCACCATGTTAGCCAGGATGGTCTCGATCTCCTGACCTCGTGATCCGCCTGTCTCGGCCTCCCAAAGTGCTGGGATTACAGGCTTGAGCCACCGCGCCCGGCCTAGTTGGTTTTTTTATAAGATATAAGGGAGTACAGAAACATTCAGCAATGGAGTAGTTATAGCTGCTTGCCTCACATGTAAGGGTAAGCTTGAGAGACCCAGACCTGCAGTTCGTAGAGAAGAAAGCTGACATTGAATTTTGAGGGAATGGTCAGTGATCCTTAAATCTGGCAATGGTATAAAAAAAAACCTCTTTAGGAAATAAGGATATTGGGTTCATTCTAGAATTGTTTTTGAGATATTGATAGCAAGGTTTGGAACCAGAACTACTACATATATTTGTACGATCTGTGCCCTACGGCAAGAGAACAAAAGAAAGCTAAAATTCTGTACACAATCTGAGCTTCCCAAGCTATGTGTGCTTTTTAATAATTTGCCCACCCAATGGGAACTTTTTTCTGTAGTTTGTATACTAGGAGGAGTCACCTTTTTGCAATTGGCTCAAGGCTTAATATATGCTAATTCAACTGTATTTGGAACCTAACACTTGGAATAATTTTTTATCAATTTGTCAGCAAAAGTTCTTCTCTGGGGTTGTTTGATGATTAAATATTATTAGATCTTAGCTAAAGGGGGTTCTAGGGTTTCTGAAACATGGGACTGCTGCTAAAGAACTATAAATTCAGAAGCAATAGCACAACTAAAACTCAGCAGAAATGCATACTTCTTTAAATCTTTTTGCAAGAGCCTGTACTCTGGACAAATAGGAACCAATTCTTGAGGCGTTAATCTTTATTTCTGGGAAGGGAACAGCTATGATTCAAACTGATTGTCTTCCATCCTGATGGTGACCTTATATTTCAGTCTGTAACATTCCGTGATTTAAAAAATAATAAAAACCTTTTCTATCTGGATTTTTAACTGTTGTTAAATACATTGGCAGAGAAACATTCTGTGTTAAGTCATTTGAGCCAAATAATGATTTTTGCATACTCTTCTTGTTTTTCAGAAACTCTGTGAAGGCATATTTAAAGTCCTTATAAAGGACATCCCAACAACATGTCAAGTGTCGTGCCTGGAAGTACTCCGCATTCTCTCCAGAGACAAAAAGGTTTTAGTTCCTGTAACAACTAAGGAAAATATGCAGATACTGCTGCGACTAGCCAAACTAAATGAGTTAGATGATTCTTTGGAGAAAGTATCAGAGTTCCCAGTTATTGTGGAGTCATTAAAATGTCTGTGTAATATAGTGTTCAACAGTCAGATGGCACAGCAGCTCAGCCTGGAACTTAATCTTGCTGCAAAGCTCTGTAATCTCCTGAGAAAGTGCAAGGACCGGAAATTTATCAATGACATTAAGTGCTTTGACTTGCGCTTGCTCTTCCTTCTGTCACTTTTGCACACCGACATCAGGTCACAATTGCGCTATGAGCTCCAGGGACTACCGCTGCTAACCCAGATCTTGGAAAGTGCCTTTAGCATCAAGTGGACCGATGAGTATGAATCGGCCATAGACCATAATGGACCTCCTCTCTCACCTCAGGAGACGGACTGTGCCATTGAGGCCCTCAAAGCTCTCTTCAATGTGACAGTAGACAGTTGGAAGGTGCATAAAGAGGTAAGGCAGAGAAGGCTGTTTTTATCTACCTGAAATTTAATTGGTCTGGGGCATCCCTAGAGTTTCCTGCAAGAGAAGAATACAAGTTGGGAAATGGAAAAAGTTCCCACTTCTCCCATTAAGCAATTGTATTACCCAGGATGTACTTCTTAACCATTGTAAGTCTTATTCTTTCCATTTGTGTGATAACACCTATCAGAATAGGTATAAAAATGGACTACTATTTTGTAAGTTGCCAAATATAGTTTTCTGAGTTGCATTATTGTCTCTTTTTAAGAGTGCCTCTTTCAGGAATAAGGTTTAAATGATAAGATTTGAGGGGAAGCAAAACAATGTGGTTGATAAAGCTATAGGCATTTTCAGTGGCTGCCATCTTAAAGGAAAGTTAAGACAGATCAAGCCAGTTGAAGTTGATCAATCAGAATTAGTGTCTGCTCAGGAGAGTAGAAGATGCTCTGTGTATGCCTATCGTCCCAGTCTCCAGGGGGGTTCTCTATAGTGTTAGATAACTACCAGAGGTATAGGACCACAACTAGATATCTGTGCTCATATATAAGTTCTAGAAAACAAGCTGATTATGCCAGAGTGTGGGGAAGGTTATTTTAAACCACCTGACTTATTTCTAAACAAAGATCTTTCTTCACTGTGGCTTGGACCCTTCAGCAACCCAAAGTGAGGCAGATTTGATAGTTTACATTTGAGTACCTACAAGAACAATATGCTAAATAGGAAACTCAGTTTAAGGAAGTCAACAAATTAAGTGAAGTAGACATAAACTTTTTTCCCTCCTTCTAGAAGCATAACATGTCATATTTACTCTGTTTTTAGCTTTAAATAACTTGAAATTCAGCCCCTGCTGTAAAAAGAGAGAGAGATTTTGGTGCCAGAGCAAATTGTCTTTTTTGACAATTGACTTTAAGATTTAGGCTAACATTTGAAACACTTCTCACCCATGAGTAAAGATCTGTTTTTGCCAGCAGCCCACTTTAAAGGGATTATCTCAGTGCAGTGCTATAGTGGGAATATGCAGACATCTGAGTTTTAAAGTGCAAATAGGTCTGTATTTTGAAACTAAATATTTGAATATCAGTCCTAACAGCTGTTCTAGATGACTGTAGTATGGTCAGTTTTTCCTTGGCCTTGGCAAGAAAAGATGTGGAAAGCCCACATGCTCCATTTATGCATTGAAACCAAATATTTGGAAGTATTTAAAATGTTATGTTTCTATGCTTATTTGGTACCTTCTATGGTTATTTTTCTTACGCTGTTTGTTTTGGGGTTTTTAAGTTCTCCATTTGAGACTTTAAACTCCTGAGACTGTTGGTTTGCCATTGTTAGAGCCCCCTGTTATTTAAATTATACCCAAAATAGTAGCTCACACTGTTCAGATTCCTGACAAAAAAGAGTGTAAAATTCAGTGAGTACACATCAGTATATGTATGAAATGGATAACAGGTAATAAATATCAGTATATTGAGATTATCCCTCATTAGTGTACTTCAGTTATAAGTAATATCGGAGCTAGAAGAAGCTTTAGAAAATGTTGAAGTAGCAAATACTCATTCTGTGTTATAGAATATTTAATCTCCAAAAGATACATGAAAAGGATCCGTAATCCTGGAGCGGGTATCTCTGACCTAGTACCCGTTGTGAGTCAGTTGATATAGCCATCATAAAATATATACATTTAATGTGACTCTGGGCTATTACTGAAGTGCTCAGAAATTTAAATACTATTGAACATAAGATTCTTGCCAACCCAATTAGATAAGAATGTCTTCATGAGTTTCCAGAGTCAACTTTTAGCAGACATTTAGTCATTCATTCATCCAATCAGTCTGTCAGTCAGTGAATATTTATGGTCAATTGCTAGACATTATGCCGAGCATTGTGTAATATTTTTGCAAACAAAAGGCATTGTCTTTGCCTTCATGAAACTTCAGTTTTTTTAGGTGAGAGAGGTAATAAATCAGTAAACACATATATAATTCAAATTCTCTTAAGTGCTAGGAGAGAAAGAGCGCATTGATTGAGAATACTTAGTAAGAAAAATTTTCTGAAGGTGTCTCCTGAGATCTGAAAAGAGAACGACTTAGCCATTTGAAAAACCGGGGGATAAAAAATTGGGGGATGAACATTTTGTGGAAGTTAAACAGTGTATGAAAGACAGAGACCAAAGCATAGGGTACTTTCTAGTGAGGGACCCACAACGTGGCATAAAGAAAGTCTGTCACCAGAGTGCAAAGAAACTTGCTACTAAGAGCCCATTTACCTGGATTTTAATAGCTCCTTGATTGTCAGACAAAAGACAGTTTACTTCGATTGGGCAAGCCCCTAAAGAATTGCCAGAATTTTAAAACAGTGACTGAAATAAAAGGATATGGAAAACTTGTGGTACAGAAGAATCCAACTTTTAAAATAAACGTTATTTTCCTTTTTATGAAAATAATATATGCTCATTGTATAATATCGAGGAAAAAGGCATATAAGCAATAAGAAAATACAAATTCCCTGTAAACTCACCACTCAAAAGATAAGCACTTTTTTATTCTTTTTTCTTTCTTTTTTTTTTTTTTTGAGACAGTCTTGCTCTGTCACCCAGGCTGGAGTGCAGTGGCACAATCTTAGCTCACTGCAACCTCTGGCTCCCGAGTTCAAGCAATTCTCCTGCCTCAGCCTCCAGAGTAACTGGGATTACAGGCATGCGCCACCATGCCTGGCTAATTTTGCATTTTTAGTTGAGACGGCGTTTTACCGTGTTGGCCAGGCTGGTCTTGAACTCCTCACCTCATGATCCACCCGCCTCGGCCTCCCAAAGTGCTAGGATTACAGGCGTGAGCCACTGCGCCAGGCCTCTTTTTTTTTAGCTAAAGAAATAGGGTCTTGTCTGTTGCCTAGGCTGGAATGCAGTGGTGTGATCATAGCTCACTGCAGCCTCAAACTCTTGTGCTCAAGCTGTCCTCCCGAGTAGCTGGGACTATAAGTGCAGGCCACCACACTCAGCTAATTATTTTTTATTTATTTATTTATTTTTGAGATGGAGTCTTGCTCTCTCGCCCGGGCTGGAGTGCCGTGGTACGATCTCGGCTCACTGCAAGCTCCGCCTCCCGGGTTCACGCCATTCTCCTGCTTCAGCCTCCCAAGTAGCTGGGACTACAGGTGCCTGCCACCACGCCCTAAGTTTTTTGTATTTTTAGTAGAGATGGAGTGTCACTGTGTTGATGGTCTCGATCTCCTGACCTTGTGGTCCGCCTGCCTCGGCCTCCCACAGTGCTGAGATTACAGGCGTGAGCCAGGACGCCCGACCTATGTTTTAGTCTTTTAAGACATGGGTCTTGCTATGTTGTTCAGGCTGGTCTTGAACTCGTAGCGTCAAGCAATCCTCCTACCTCAGCCTCCCAAGTAGTTGGGATTACAGATGTAAGCTACTGCACCAAGCACTGTTTGCCTCTTTTGGTGTGTATCTTTCTTTTTTTTTTTGAGATGGAGTTTCCCTCTTGTTGCCCAGGCTGGAGGGCAGTGATGTAATCTTGGCTCACCGCAACCTCTCCCTCCTGGGTCAAGTTATTTTCCTGCCTCAGCCTCTCGAGTACCTGGGATTACAGGCATGCGCCACCACCCCTGGCTAATTTTGTATTTTTAGTAGAGACGGGGTTTCTCCATGTTGGTCAGGCTGGTCTCAAACTACCGACTTCAGTGATCCGCCCGCATCGGCCCCTCAAAGTGCTGGGATTACAGGTGTGAGCCACTGTGCCCGGCTGGAGTATATCTTTCTAACTATTCTTAATTGTATGGTAGATAAATATATATGTACATTTTTACAAAAATGCAGTCATTTAATAATCTTAGTCTTTTTTCTTCATAATAAAAGTTCATAAACAGTAGGTTTTCGGCTGGGTGTGGTGGCTTACACTTGTAATCCCAGCATTTTGGGAGGCCGAGGCAGGCAGATCACAAGGTCAGGAGATCGAGACCATTCTGGCTAACATGGTGAAAACCCACCTGTACTAAAAATGCAAAAAATTAGCCGGGCGTGGTGGAGGGCGCCTGTAGTCCCAGCTACTTGGGAGGCCGAGGCAGGAGAGTGGCGTGAACCCGGGAGGCGGAGTTTGCAGTGAGCCAAGATCGCACCACTGCGCCCCAGCCTGGGCAACAGAGCAAGACTCCGTCTCAAAAAAAAAACAAAAAAAAAAAGAGTAGGTTTTCAACATGTGTTTCTTTAAGCCATAAAGTTTCTAGCAGTGGGCTCTGGGAGCAATTGGACAGTGTTCCAGATTCCTCACCCTCACTTTAAATACAGAGCACCAATTGTTATTGCTATTGCTATTGCTTTTCTTTAAATATAGGTTGTAATTAAGATTTAATTTGGGGGATAAAATGGATTCCGCAACCCAAAAGAAATTTTTGACAACCACCTTCTAACTTCTTGTGAAATAATACGTACTTGTAAGTATAAAGAGGCCTATGAAAATGAAGAATATGGCTAGGTGCAGTGGTGGCTCAGGCCTGTAATCCTAGCACTTTGGGAGGCTGAGGCAGGAGCATGGCTTGAGCCCATGAGTTTTGAGACCAGCCTGGGCAACATAGTGAGACCTGATCTCTACAAAAAATAAAAAAAGATAAAAATTATCCAGGCATTGTGGCATGTGCCTATAGTCCTAGCTACTTGGGAGGCTGAGGTGGGAGGATCACTTGAGCCCAGAAGGTTAAGGCTGCATGGTTGTGCCACCACACTCCCGCCTGGGTAACAGTGTCTCTCTCTCAGGAAAAAAAAAAAAGAGAGAAGTTTAAAAATAGATAAATATTTTAAATATATATATATCAGTGTTTTATACTTAGGAGTATTCCTTCCTAAGGAAAGATGTATCAACCTTTAACAAATCTCCCTTTTGAAGACAATTAAGAGATTGTTTGCAGTTGCTTGCCGTTTTAAATTCTAGTGATTTTTCTTATAAAATTTTTGTAGATACGTTCCTGAAATTGGTGGGCCAGAGGGTTTC